AACTTAGTCTCAGGTTTCTCACCTGTAACTGAGGAAGATAATACTACTTAGTTCACAAAAAAAGTTGTGAATGCTAAAAGAAAAACATGCACGTAGGATACTCAGTATTTAGTTCCTTTCTTAGAGCAAAGCCAGGTCACATATGTAATTAGTAATGAGGTCATTGAACCGATTACTTTTGATGTAATTATCCCTAGTACTGTTTTACTTTGACTGTCTTCCAAGTATGCCTTTCTGCGCCACCAAATATCCTGACACCCCATCACTACTTAAATCAATTATGCATTGCCTACACAGAACATTTTAATATCTGTTTGCCATTAATCTTTTGAATGAAAAAGAACAAGTTGTTTTAAGTGAATTTTGGGATTTGATCTGCAACATGCTCTCAATCATAAATTAGTGAGAATCTTTTTTAAAAGTTGGGCAGAGCAGCAGTTTCATTGATAAAATTAACTGCTTTGGGAATAGAGAGGAGATTGTATCCTTTGATCTTGGAGAACTAAGTGTGGATCCAAAGCAATTTAAGGAGAAAAATGGTGCTGTCACTGAGACAATGGAAGTTAGAGCATGTGACTTCAGCCACAGAGGGTGTAGGATAAAGTTTTCAGGTACAGCTGAAGCAGGTGAGGAATGAGACCCTGGAGCATGGATGCCAAATGAGCATGATGCATCTGCTCCCTCTCACAACTCCATGTCTTGAGTTTTCTGAGTGATAGGGTCACTGTTTCCCACTGAACCTAGGGCTTCTCAGAGTCCTTCTCAACACAGCATTCCAAACAGCCACTACCAATCCATCAGACTTAGCATGAAACTGCTTGGCCTGGCTATAGGTCCTTTAATCAGAAATATTTCATGAGTTAAAACTACCACTGAATCGTAATCATTTGGAAACAGATCAATTGGCAAAATCTGAATTAGTCCCCATGTTTAAGGTCGCAGGGGAATCCAACCACACAGATAATTAGTTAGACTCTGATTTACATGGGAATCTTGGAAAACACATACGTATACACCCACATATACACAAGACCATATGCGTGTAATGAATGACATATTGCTGCCTTGATGCTTCCTTTGCTTTTTAACAGATCAGTTAAACCTGGTTTTCTGAATATTTGCTGGGGACCCACTCAAAATGGAACTTTCAGCATGATTTGTAAGTCAAAGGGCTTTAGTAGTACATGAAATGGGAACCAGTTAAGTGCATGTCACCTGGTTACACATCCATCCTACACTAAGTATTTCTCTAAGAAATCACAGTCTGTAAAGTGAGCATATATAAGTTCCAGCTTTCTCTCCTGTACTTTCGAACCTGTTTGTGTCTGTACAGATGGTCTCTGTCAGTTGGAATAGTCAGGGGGGAAAATGCAGCATAAATGAACAAAATTAGCAAATGATATAGCAAACAGAGAACAGCATACCATTTGATTGGGGACAGATCTAGGGGCTGAGAAATTTCCCAAGTAATGGTAGGTATCAGCAGGCAGGGTTGAAGGAGCCACCAAAGCCTGGATGTAACAAGGACAGGGAAATAACAGGCATCAGACAATTCTGTGATGTGTATTCTTAATACACTGGAGTAACCCCAATGCTTTCATTGTGTTATGACTGCTCTTCCATTGTCTGTATTTGTATAAATTAAAAAGCAATTCTGTTTGTACTATATGAGATGAACTCATGCTGAACAAAATTTCAAAAAGTTCATGTAAAGAATGATTTCACAGCAACTATCATATCAGGCTCCTGGAAAATTGCACTTGAACTTCAGTTCCACCTCAGTCACTCAAAGGAATTTAAAAATTGGCTTCCAGCCATCCTTGTTCTTCAACATGCAGTTTCAGATATGCCTCAATAACACAAACTTTAAAACCTATTGATTGTGAGTTAAAATCTGTTCCTACCAGAGTCTTGCTGTTAAGTAGACGTCAACACCGACTTCACAGTGCCTTGGTCAGGATTCCTCTGAGTTCTGGAGCCTTGAAGAAGGCAGAAGGTGACAGTGCTGTGAAGGAACTACTTTGAACTTTATAGCAAAATTAGGAGGAAACTTTGAACTCTGTCGGGTGATAGCTGCTGTAAATGGTTATTCGAAGAAATGTTTCCTATTTGAAATCTAAAGAGTCTCTTGGGATTGGTAGATGATCTTTTGTAAATCACTCCCTTTCTTTGATGTCACTTTCTTTTTTTCTCACCATGTTCTTTGGATAAGCACCATGTAGAGTGGCTAGAGGGAGAATTTGGGAATAGACAAATACTAAGGTTGATTCCTGGCCCCTACTGCTTAACTAGCTATGCGGTTTAACCTCTCTGTACCTCAGTTTCCTCATGTATAAAATGGAAATATGTTATTTCATTTTATGGGAATATATAAATAATTCTATCCTCAGATTGTTTTGAGGATTAAATGAGGTAATACATATAAAAGAACTGGCACAGTGAGTGGCTGGTAGTTATTGTTTAATATGTATTAGCAGTGAAAATATTAATAATAATGATAGTTATCATTATTAGGACACCTATGGGAGAAGATATTGATTAAAAATTAGCACTAATTTAATGAAACTCTGATGTGTTCAGTCTACATTGGCCAGGGCATCTGGCAAGAATGTCATGCCTTATTTGACTCCCAAAAAGCTATGAATGAATTGAATTTTCTAGATCAAACTCCATGTATCCAATGATCAGTTTTAGGGATGATTTGTCTTCATTTCTATTGTGTTGCTGGGCACATTTAAGCTTTAAGGGTATGTTATCCGCTACCTCTTTCTGTCACCCCCATCCTCAGGGTCTTAGGTGGGGAGTTTGATGCCTCTGTGCTGTTGTTGCTTCTGTTTTCTCTCAAAAGTCACTTTCTTCTTCGTGGGGAGTTTGCTCAAGCATTACTTTTCCAGGGATCTTTGTTTGACTCTCTATTCCTGTCCTTACCTGGCCAGGCTAAACCAAGTGTCCCTTTTTTCTGCCCCTTCAGCATCATGTCATTACACGCCACTATCCTGTTCTTTATCATGTGGTACTGAAGTGACATATTTACCTGTCTGTCTCCTTTTTGAGGGCAGGAATAGCATCTTGCTTATTTTTGTATCCTCAGTGACTAGCGAAGTGCACATATCTTTTATTGAACCAAACTAATCCATAAATAGCATTTAGTGCACTGAATAATAAATCAGGAAATACAATTATAAAATTGACATCCATTTGAGGTGTCTGAAAATATCTCTATATATGTAGTGCATCTTAAAGCAGGAAAACACATTTCTTCTGGCTCAGCATTTCTTCCCTGAGTTGAAACGCTAATTTGATTCTTAAGGTTGCTTTTCCAACATTTTGCCCTTCCCTCCACATCCCCAGATTTAGGGCCTATCCCATGGGCTGCTACTCTTGGCTTGTTTTTCCAAATGAACAAACCAGCAAGCAAGCAACTGCAAAGACCCCATGACATAAGGATGAAACAGGAGAAAGTACACATGGCGATTGATTATCCTCACCCAGCAATTTGACTGCCAGGAGCTTTGTGCCATGTGGAGGGGAGGTTGCAACAGCCTCCATGTGGGAGGAGATCTTTGTAACCCAAGAGCAGCTCCAAGCCACGGCCCACCTTCTTCCAGACTGACTGCTCTACCCCATGGCAGGAGTGGCTGTGCTTCTCTTTGTAGGAATTCTCCCGTGGTATCCAAAACAACCCACATGGTAGAGAAAGAGTGGGGGCATTAGTCAACTCTTTGAAATACCAATGTGTCACCTCTTCCATTTCCACCCCAAACTAATTAATTTGGTTTGAGTCTACTTTATTTATTTGTTCATTCACTGAGCTATTTTTAGAACAATATTTGAGGTGCAGGGGTGAATAAAATAGACAAGACACCTGACTTCCAGATAGCAATAAGGGCTATGATGATATTTAAATAGCTAATAGGGCCGGGCTCAGTGGCTCAGCCTGTAATCCCGCGCCTTGGGAGGCTGAGGTGAGTGGATTGCCTGAGCCCGCGGGTTCGAGACCCGCCTGGGCAACTTGGCGAGACCTCATCTCTACAATAAATCAAAAAAATTATCCAGGCATGGTAGCGCGCGCCTGTAGTTCCAGCTACTCGGAAGGCTGAGGCGGAAGGATCACCGGAGCCCAGCAGGTCGAGGCTGCGGTGGCCGGGAGCAGCCACTGCACTCCAGTCTGGGTGACAGAGTGAGACTCCAACTCAAAAAATAAAATAAAATAAATAGGCTAATAAGCTAGAGCTGGCAGGTGGACAACTTTCAAGAAGGCAATCATGGAAGGGTAGATCGAAGAGAAGGTGATTTCACCAAGCTGGTTCGGCAAGGTGGTGGGGGCAGGTGTGGTGTCCCATGTAGAGGGAAAGGGAAGTGTGAAAACTGAAGGTGGAATGGCTTGGCATGTTCAAAGCACCAGAAATAAAGATAGCCATATGGAGGGTTATAAGGACCACTTTGAGAAGTGAGATAGGAGAGGAATAGACAAGACAGGTAGGTCATCATGAGGAGTTTGGATTGTTCTCTACGTGCAGTGGGAAGCCATTGGAGGGTGCTGAGCAGCGAGTGACACAGCCTGACTCCTATCTTTACAATTTCATTCTGGCTGCTGTGGAAAAGGGACTGGACAATGGGAATTAGGTGGGTAATATGGCAGAAGCTGAAGCCGGGAAACCAGCAAAGAGGTAGCCCAGGGAGAGAGGATGGGCACTTAGGTTAGGACAGTAGCGGAGGAGATAGAAATAACCGGATGGTTTCCAGACTAACTCCATTTCAGCTGTGTACATGGGTATTTCTGCTAATGCCCTGTTTCTGAAATATGCAACCACCTCTTGTATGAATTTAGACTTTTGGAGAAACATCAAACCACTCTAAAAAGCACATCTGGAGCATTTCATTAAAAATATATATATATATATATATATTTGTATTGTGAGCTGGTTTCAATGTAACTTTCTGGGGATGCTCTCATGACACTCATTGCTGACCTTTGACCCCTCTGTCCTCTTTCCCAGGTCGTCCCATTCCACCTACATCCTCGCCTAGCCTCCTCCCATCTGCTCAGCTGCCTAGCTCCCATAATCCTCCACCAGTTAGCTGCCAGATGCCATTGCTAGACAGCAACACCTCCCATCAAATCATGGACACCAACCCTGATGAGGAATTCTCCCCCAATTCATACCTGCTCAGAGCATGCTCAGGGCCCCAGCAAGCCTCCAGCAGTGGTAAGGAAACTCTGTGATGTCTGAATGTGTGGTGTTTCATGAGTGACATTCTCAATTCTCCAGCTAAATGACAACTCTGAAACAAGGGCTGGGGGAAAGTGACATGGGGAGCATCAAGGTGAAACGCGTTTATCGTTTTGCGGCATGGCATTTCCAAGTTACATTTGTTGAAGGTCGAAGTTACGGAAGAGGTTTTGCTTATCTGAATGGGGCTTGGGCCTCCTTCAGTGGAAGGCATGTGCCCACTGCTACATGTGTGAGCGTGCTGGTCTCAAAGGTGATGTGCAGAGAGACACTGGAATATTGAATTTTGTATTACTATGGCTGTGGTCATGACCAGGTGGCCCTGGGCACCTTCTCATGTTCAATTTGTATACATCTCAGATCCTCTGGTTTTTTTTTTATAGTTAGCTTCTGACTTCTTCTTCCTTGCTCATGTAGATGATTTTGCGATTAAAATGTGTTCCCTTGACATGAACACTGAATGTCTTGCCAAGTCTGAAGTGTTTGGGAGGTGACCTCTCCTATAACCCTCCACTTATACCACTTCATTTGAATTTAACAAGCTGATAGTGTGTTACTAGGGCAAATGCTGCCTCTACATCTATAGTTCTCATTTTCGTTTTCACAGAACAGAACAGAGGAATGGAACACAAGATTCTGTTTCACTTTTGAGGATTTTGTGGCCACTGTGTCAACTCCCAATTCCTGAATCTTAGGCAGAATTGCCCTGGGCCCAGCAATAATCATGCCTTATTTTGATTTATCCTGTTGATGATATGTTCACATGAACATAGTAATGTAGGAGTGGGCAATATGTAGGCTTTAAGTATCCTTGGCCCAAGGAGAGTTATTTGCAGAAATTAATTGGTTCTGACCCAAAGGTTCTGGAGTTATCTTCTGAATTGGCCACTCATGATGTTCGTTTGCATATCCCGTCCAAAGCAAAGCAGAGCTTACCATGCCAAGAGTGTGATGAGATTGTGTTTTGGCTTCATCCTTGAGTGTATGCCACCCACCAATGGCCTCAACCTCTACAATTAGAGAAGACCTCCCAAAATACATTTAAGATGACTCATTCTGGAGATGGAATGATGCCCTGCTACTTATGATGGTCCATGCCCTTCTTCAAAGCCAGGCCTGATATATTTAGTAAACTCATATTCTTTTTCAAAAAAATTACCTAATCAAATCTCTCATCAAATGAGCAATCCATTGTTGATATTATGAAGGCCTTTAATCTACCATAAATCTTTATTAGAACTCATCAGAGCTTCTAGTTTGAGAGAAATGTGATTATGGCACTCTTAAAATGACATTACATCATTGGGGTGATTGGTTTATCATTTGGAGAAGAGACATCAATCATAACTAGCATAACCACACAGTAAATGAATTCAACCTTTCTACCACGGAACAATGACACTGTAATTGCTCAAAATCAGGCTTAAAATGAAATCGGAAAATGCTCTTTCTTCAAATATGATGTTAACTTAATGGAATATATTATGAAAAATCATGTTTGAGGAAATTCTATATAATTAAAAATATGTGGAAAAATATTCCCTTTTTTTTCTTTCATTAGAACCTGATGTTAGCTACAGAGCCATTTTTTGCTGCAGAAATTATATTGCATTTAATTGAACTATGTTTTGCTTTTTATTTCATACTATATTATCGTGATGAATATTGTATTATGAAGGACAAGAGGCTTTTGAAATGAGGTGCACCTGCTGATAGCTTTTTAAAAACACTATTATTAGCAGGCAAATGAACTTTTAAAAACTATATTCCTTTATGCATATATGGATACCCAGGCAAAGATGATTTCCATAAGAGAGGTCAGTTCATATCTTGGGGCCATCTAGAATGTTTTCCTAGTGATGATGTGGTGAATGATTTTTTTTCTTTTGGACAGTACATCAGATTGTAACTTATTGATGGGGTACTTTTGTTAACTTTATGGCTAATCTGTACCTCATTTTCGTGGACACAACAGATCTGTATGTTCAGAGTCAAACTTATCCCTATTTAATCTCTCATACCAATCTGTTCGACTCACTTAAGACTGATAGTAACTTAAGCTTCAGTAGCAGAAGAAAATATCACAGAAAATTTAAAGGTCCATTTTCATCCCAAACAAGAGCTGTGCTGATATGATTTCTTCATCTAAGGGGTACAGACACAATTGTGAAACACCCTTGTTCTTAGCATATGTTTATCTGAGAGTTTGTTAAAGCTCTGGCCAACAGACAGTCATTCAAATTTTTTTACTCTGGCTTAGCTAAAATGAGAGCAAATTGAGTTGGAGTGTGTGTGTGTGTGTGTGCGCGCGTGCGCGCGCACGCGCACGTGCTTCCCCCACTCCTCTCCCTCTCCCCCACCCCCGTGTGTGTGTGTGTGTGTGTGTGTGTGTTTCTTGTGGAATGGATTTGGGGTCCTGGGCAAACTGAGGAGTCTATCAAGATCTGAATGCAGTTGCATTTGACATAAAGGATTGAAAATGGAGTTTGACACAGAAGATGCAAAGTACAGAGCTGTTTCTGAGTGTTTTGAATTAATTTTGATGAAAGGAGTTGAATTTTTCAGATGTTATAGCATAAACAAAGTGACCATGTGTTTGGGTGTGTTATGTTTAGCTGGTTAATTACACAGGATTTCTTAAGTTGGTCACTTGGCAATGGCTTTGTGTTCTGAGGATTGGGTACCAGTTTGGTCTGTGTCTCTTTCTTAAAAGTGAAATAGAACACTTTACAACACATTCAGCCCCTACATGATAGCAAAAAATATTAAATAAATAGATAGAGAGATAGATGATAGATAGGTAAAGATAGAAAAAGATAGATAGATAGATAGATAGATAGATAGATAGATAGATAGATAGATAATTTCCTGCTCTCCTCTTACTGTTGCTGTTATTATTTGTTGGTGGCAAAGTCCATCATTAGGAAAGTCACAGCACACAATTCCTGCCCAAGGAGACCCATTCTAAAGAGACTAACTGGACATAAACTACAAGAACTAAAAATGTTTTGCCCAACACGAAAACCTCCTCAAAGCAACAACAAAGCTTCACCTTTATGGCTTGACTGTCATCATTTTCTATGATGGAAGTGCATTCTTTAGTGGATGGTACTAAAACCTTGCCACCTTTGAGGCCAAATTGCTCTAACCCTCAATCTATGCCAATCAAGCAGATACTCAGGTACAGTAAGTGAGATGCTTACAAGAATGGTGTTTCTTTCCCTGGTAAGCATTTTCTTTCAGATGACTGAGCTCCAGCAAGTGGTTCATCCCGTGTTCTGACCTTCTACCAGAGCAGGTTAGCTCCAGAGTTGTTCCTTGTGTACAGAAGCATCATTTCAAATCCTATGAAACAACTCATCCGGAAAATATTCTGGATCCCAGTGGCAGCATAATGGAGGCTCCCGCAGCTGGAAGAATGAAACTATCTTCCAAATCAGAACAGGGTTTGCAGTTTGCTATTAGCGTATGATGCAGAAGACACCCGGGTAACACATTAGCATCCAAAGAGCGGCTTACCTCTCCCCGTGAAAGGTTGAATTCCAGTTTTCTTTAAAGTTCAAATGAAGAGGTTTGGAACACTCATTAGTAGCATGATTTTATACATAAGAAATGTAACCAGAATGCCCTGGCCAAGACCCTTTCAGCAGGTCCTATGTGGCAAAGGCACTGCCCCAGCTGGAGAGTCTCCATTTGTAACAGCACATTAAAGATGCCCTGACCTTTTTTCAAAAAGCAATGCCTTGGTTGATTCTAAATGAAAATAGGACATCAAAGTCAGCAAGATTTTGGGTTGCCTAGGGTGGTCCAAAAATGTAGCTGTGGCTAATTTCATAACTAAATGCTAAGTTTTTAAAGCGGTAATTAAATAATCAAAAGCTGTCTTATTTACCTGGCATCATAAAGCAAAAAAAAACTTCATTCATTCATTCCTTTTCTTGCACCTCCCATAATTTATAACAGCCTATAGCAATTGTCTTTTAAAAAGCTAAAACTATAATTGGCTGATACAATAAGAGTAAAAGAAAAACTTAGCGGGAAAAGCATGCATATAAGCTCAAATATATAAAGTCCCATTTCATTATTGAAGATAGAAAACTTGATTCTAAGCTTCTTAGCAACCAAAACAAAAAGGGAATCATGGAAAGAACAAGATGCCCAACAAACATGAGATAAAAGCAAATTAACTGCTTCAGGGAAATTTTGTGACGCCTACGGGGAAGCTGGAAAGAAATGTCTTATAAAGAAGGTCATGTGTGTATCCAGATGACTGGCTTCTCAGTAGCATCATATAATGCATAAGCTAATTTCCTGTTAAAATTTTCTGAAACCTCCCTCAAAATGAACCACAGAGAATACTTTCAGTTTAAAAACAATTCTACAAATGTGTAAAATGTGCAAATCCAAGGCCAAACTTGACTTGATCCATAGATAAACCTTAGTTCTACTAAAGGTCCATGTAAGCTGCGTGTCCTGCAAGCAACAGACCTTAAATATTATTGCTCATAACTAAATTTTTATGGGAATTAGCAGACTTTGAGGTTATAGTCACCATCCGGAACCTGAAAAGCAGATGTTCTGTGTTACAAATTTGCCTTGACAGCCATATAGAGTTAGAATTGATATCCTCTTGTGAAAACTAATGCATCTCTCCAGGCAACCTCCCTCTCTGGACCCTCCCACCATCCATGAAGCTGCTTTTGGGACAAGGAACAAGGCAGCTCACAGAAATAGATTTCTTTTTAAGGGGGAAGGGAAGTCAGGGTCTTACTTTGTGGCCCAGGCTGGAGTGCAATGGCATGATCATGGCTCACCACAGCCCCAACCTCCTGTGTAGTTTCCTTGGTGGCAGATTCATAGTAGTTGTTCAATAAGGATGTATTAAAGAAATGAATTAACTTCTCTTTTAACTACCTTTATTTTTTTCACTCTTGATTTTGGGGTCAGGAAATCAAGTTCAAACATCCATTTACTTT